AGGAAGACCTCATAAAAGAGATCAAATGTCAACGACAGCAACAGCACCACCACCATAAGCACCACATGCCTCGTCATTCTTCCTTTCAGTTACTTCATTCCATTCTTTGATGGGATTCGAACAGATCCGTAGCCGGGTTTCCAAGAAGTCCTACAAGCTGTAAAGCAAAGTGCAGATCAGGTAGGGGAAGGACGGACGCATTTCCTCATTGCTGCTCCTCTACCTGATCATTGCACTGAGAAAAAAGTAATTATTGCATGAGTTATGAGTATGGTTTTCACCAAAAAGATCATTTCAATTCTTTTTATTTGCAGCTATCCATTTTAATATTTTCTAGACATTAATAACCAAAGTTATTTATGATTTTTTAAAAAGTTTCTCAGTGTAGGAAGGGAGACAGCATCCCTCTTATTCTCTCCGTGTTGCACCTTCCCTTCGATGGAGCGTTGAGCCGTTAATCTTAATGCGCCATGGCTGCTGTCGCTTCTGTCTCTCTTCGGGTTCCTTTTTCCCGTGTTTTCTGGCTATCAGATTTTCTTATTTTCCCATCATTCTTGCCGCGCAGCACTTGATGCACACAGTATGTGCTGGTTGAGGGGCAGTGAGGCGTGGCAGGGGTTCCGATGAGAAGAGGATGCGCCTGCGGAAATTACTCATTAACGTTCAACTCCGGCCCTGGCTCTCGGGTGATTCACTTGCAAGCTGGAATTCCAGCTGCGTCTAGGAGTGCCGATCAAAAATGCCACTCGAGTGTCATCTTAGGGGGCTAAGCGATAGGGAAGTACTATAGTATAAGATTACAGGTGAAATTCGATCTGGAAGTCACATTTCACTTAATACTAGAAGATTGCTGGCATTTAAGAATATTTAAAAAAGAGCTCCAAAAAATGATTGCTAAATGTATAAAAAACAAACACACAATCGTTTGCCTCTGGAAAGTACCTAAAACCAGTTTAATTATTATTCATCAAACGTAAATGCTTTTTCAAAGATTCCATACAGTAGATAGGGATAATAGTGCTATAAGCTGGTATGAACGTTTAACTTAATCTTATCTGATTGCTGTCCCACATAATCCTTTCCATTCTTTTCTATAGGCACTCTTACCTCCTCGACTTCCTTATCCTCCTTTCAGATCTCCCATGTCCCATTTTCTAGCATTTCCGATCCCGCGATCCCACACACGAAAGACCCGCCTCCTCTCACTATTTTCTTGGCCAAAAACGGAAACATTGCCAATACTCGTAAAAAGAGCATAGGAAATTCTTTTAACCCATTTGCTTGTATTTGGTTTTTCAGTTTTCCTTCCACTCCCCCTCCTAGCATTTATTTCTTTTTTCTTTCTTTCTTTTCTAAACTGATCGTTTTATAATTTTCGTTTGTAATTTCCGTTGAAACCGGTTCGGATCGTTCGCATACCTCCGATTTTGAACTACCTGTGTGCCCGAGTCGATTTCGAGTTGTGTCAAAAGGAGAGTCTATATCAGAATCAGAGAAAGAGAGGTGCCTGAACACTGCTCTTTTCGGATTCTTCTCTGCCGCGCCTCCTGTGCCGAGATTTAGAAATATTCTTTATACTCTTATTGCGTGCGTGAGACGATGATGCCTCTTCATCTGCTCCAAGTTTTTGCACTGAAAGAAAGCTTCTAGTATAACTTTCAGAATTAATATGGGCAACTCCAATGCGATATCTAAAATTTTTTGTTTCTTCAAGTTGAGCGTCAACTATTATTATTTCTTTAAATTTATGATGTCCTTCTGTAATAATTTGAAATGTCATTATTTTTTTTCTTAATTATTTCGCAGTGTACTTCCCCAACTCTGTTTCTTCCTGGGCTGCTGCCCTGCCTTCTTATTGTTGTTTTTGTAGCTGGCTGATGAGCATTCATTTGTCATTTTACTACGTGCCACCGACTCCAACTTTTAGCCGAATGTTTATTTATTTTGTGTTGCTGCTGCTGGTGCTGCGGAACATGTGTGCACTAGAATATATGATTTTATTTTAGTGAAAACTCAACCATGTGTTGTGGCAACCGAAATAACACGTAGGATCGTTTCAGTGTGAGTGTGTCTGTATGTGGAGTGTGCACAATAAGCGGCGGGGCATCAGCATTTACCTCTAGCTCTCTTCGAAAACAAATAGATTGGATCGGTTGTGGATCGGATAGACCCCCTCTAAGCCATGTACATGCATAATAAAATATTCAAGGCGATTATTATCATCCTCATCATCATCATCATTCTCCGCCCCCTTTTTTCCCCACACCGCCATCACAAATATTTTATGTTCTTTCCATCTCTTTCTGGCGCTCTCGAGTTGCTCACTTGTTGAAAGCGCTTCCCGGAGAATGAGGAAGTTTCTTTCGGGAGAGCACAAGACAGTCGGGAGGAGATGTGAGATAAATCTGAACATGTGTGCAGCAAAAATGTCTGGTCTGGCTATATGTAGGAATAAATACAGCACAGGTTGAGTTAATAGTACTGTTAGGATGGAAAGCATTGCAGGTTAATTGTATTATTAACCTGATGAAAAGAAAGCACTTTGCAATAATAGGGTATATAATAATTATTGTTTCATTCTTTGATGATTCTGTGAAACATCTGTTATTTGTTATGGTATAGTAACAGGATCAGAACTATCCTTAAGAATGGTTTTGGGAAATCTCTTTCTTACGTTTGCTGTAAACAGGGTGCCCCTCATTTGGATGATGTTACTCCTTTCTTCTTAACCTCCCCGACTCTTCATCTTCATCTCGATCCACCGACTGGGACTTGCTGCTCTCTTTACCCACTGGCGGATTTATTAGTTGCCCCATCGGCAGCGTCTTTCTCCAACCCGTGTTGCTCCCATCCCACTCCCTCTTCTCTGGCTGCTGCTTTGGGAAACGGGTTTTCTGTTTGGAATGTGCACTTCCGTTTGCTGCTGCAGCAAGATACGAGAGTGGGCAATGGGCACGGCTTTCAAGTTTCGAGAGACGTTCGAACCCCAAGCCCCTTTTACCCCTCGGCTGGTGCCATCAATACATTTGCTTATGTTGAAATCTTTACAGCAAATGATCACCGCCATGTGTGTATACGTCTTTAGGTTTTTGTGTGCCTGTGTTTGGTTTGTACACATCCGGAATGGCAGTGTACTGCCGCTTATGCACACCGATACACCCAAAGAGATCACACATTTTTGGTGGAAATTACCATATTGAGAAATTTACAATTAAAAAGTTTCAGGGGATAGACTTTGGCGACTACGAAATGCTCTCGGGGTATAGGTTAATTGATTAATTAAAGCCTATTTCCAAGAAAATATCTTTATTTAAAAATGTCAATGAGGATTTATTGTTCTATAAATTTCCTGTTTGGTTTTTATTTATATCTCCCAAAAATGTATTATTATTTTTCAGCTACCTCCAATCGAAAATATCTTCCGGAAGTGAAATTGATACCAAGGTTGGGGAATATTTTTATTTATGAATTTCTTTAGCTTGAGGTGTGAATTGTTGGCAACCGTACGGATATGAAAGCGGTAAGGCCTTATGGGGTTTATGGCAATGGTGCCCCACGTTGGGAGCCAATTAATAGGTCTTAACATTATGATTTTTGTAAACATTGATTGGTAAACATGACATTTATGAAATTAACTAAAATTGAAAACGGCGAAGAAGATAAGTGGCAACCAATTAAACTGTTCAGAAATATGAAGAATGTTTTAAAATATGAGAATAGCAGTTGTTCTCCGTAAAGCGCATTCACTAGTTCGTTGTGATTGGATCTCTTTTTTTTAAACGATTTTCTCCCGCTCTTGCTCTTTTTCCCCTTGTCTGCCTGCGCCGCGGTCGCTGCGGGGGTGTGTTGCTGCTGCTGCCACTGCCTCCGAAGATGCCTGCTGAGCGGAGATATCGAGGAAGAGAGAGAGGTCCGGTCCAGACCTCTGCCGCTGTCTGATCCTCGGCTGCGACGCCTCTGCCGCTGTCACTGCCAGTGAGTCACGCTCTTCGCTCTCCGAGATTGAGATCCCGCCGCCAGTTTGCGCCAAGTAGTGTTCGGATGCGCTTGCCCGTTTTATATCGCTATACCACACTCTCACAAACACACAAATAGATCGATCCGTCGGATTGCTGTTGTTTTTGTTATTCTTGCGTCGGCGTCGGAAAGATATATTATTTGTTTATTTCATCCATCGGCTGCCCCGCGACGATTATGAAGAAATCTGATTTGGTTGGAATGCGAATGTCTGTCTGAGTGTCGCTCTCCCGCTCGCTCCCGTCGACGGATCGAATTGGTTCGGATCGGTATGTGTGGCGTCTGGGAGCGGGATCAGTGTATCCCCTACTCCCCAACTGATGTGTCCGCATAGATATTTCTCTGGCGGAAGTGTGTCGAGTGATCAACAACATCCATTGGCCACATCCTTTGCGATGGTGATTTTTCAACTGTGAACTTTGAACCTCCAGAAGAACCGTGTTTTTTGCATCCGTTCCAGAACTGTTGTTAGTTTTCCATATTTGGTTTAGACAGTGTTAAAAACAAACAAAAAAGATTTGCTTAAAATTCTTTTTTCGAAAAAAATCTATTATGTGAATTTTGGGTACTAAAAAATGCACAGAGAAGACTAAGAACATTTCCCAAAAAGTGAAAACAAAAGTTTAAAAAGTTTTTAATATTTTACTGAAAAAACGAAACAACACTTAACACTAAGAAAACTGTAAAAAAAAGAAGAGTTGAAAGCAAAATGATTTTAAATGAATATCATTTATGACGCATTACATTTGTCTTCGTTCAACTTTGTTTCAAAAAAAGATTAAAATATAGATATATTCTAAAAAACTAGAGCAATCAAAACCATACATTCTTTAATACTCCAATAAATCATTGCCACACAAATTTATACATAAAAAATTATGTGTTTTTTGGGAGTTTGGTTTTAAATTTTTCTTTCGCTATTTACTTACCGAAGCTAAATTAAATATATATACTAACTTCCTCTCTTTCTTATTATTTTTTAGATAACCCAAATTAAAGGCAACTAAAGTGGCTCCCATTGACCCACTGATACGGATCCGCTGACCAGGACACTTCCTTACACACTGTGGCTGCATGTCCAAAATGAAAATGCTCCCAGTACAGTTATCGTTGAACTCGCTGAATCCCGGCATCTGGAGCGATGTGCTCTGGCGCTGCCCCCCCGCGCCCTCCAGCCAGCTGGCGGAGCTGAAGACACAACTTCCCCCCTCCCTGCCCTCCGATCCGCGCCTCTGGAGCCGCGAGGATGTGCTCGTCTTCCTGCGATTCTGCGTCCGCGAATTCGATCTCCCCAAGCTCGACTTTGATCTCTTCCAAATGAATGGCAAGGCGCTGTGTCTACTAACACGGGCGGACTTCGGTCACAGGTGTCCGGGGGCAGGAGATGTTCTGCACAACGTGCTGCAGATGTTGATCATAGAGTCCCACATGATGCAGTGGCATCTGCCCAACAGTCCAGTGACGCCGACCAGTCGTTATCCCCTGTCGCCGCACAGTCACCCGCCGACGCCCACGTGGCCGCCACTGAATGCTCCTCCGGAGAACAGTCCCTTCCACAGTTCGGCCCATGGGCTGGCGGGTCATCATTTTATGGCACCGAACTCTGTGACGCTGAGTCCTCCGCCCTCAGTGGATTCCCAGGCGAGTAGTCCACCGCAGGCACCTTACCAAAACGGAGGAGCCACTGGAGGAGCAGGAGCCGGAGGACCAGCAACCGGTGCAGGAGTCCAAAACTCCAGCAATCCCACATCCTCGAGTGCAAGCAGCACCGGAAGCAATGGCTCCCAGCCAAATATTATGCCCATGAAAGGAATTAGCAGTGCCAGCAGTAATCACTCTGACTCCGAGGAGGAGTACTCTGAGACCAACGGTGGAGTGGGAAAGATGCCACCAGCATCATTGCCCTACAGCACGGCCAGTCCGCCGGGAACACCCATACTGAAAGACATCAAGCCGAATTGGACGCAACAGCTCACGAATAGTTTTGTGAATTCGTGGTCCCAGCAGCAACAACAGCAGCAGCAGCAACAGGCAGCTGCAGTGGCTGCAGCAGCCCAGGCCCAACAGCAACAGTTGGTGCAACAGCAACAGCAGCAGCAACAACAACAACTGCCGCAGAAGCTGACCCTGGATAATACTGCTGGCCCAGTGGTGGCCCCCGCTGGAGGATCCATCTCCGCACCGACCACGCCCAGTTATATGTACAAAGCAAAGAGGGAGTTCTTCCCCGAGAACTCAGAACCCAATACAAGTAAGTTGTCAAGCCAAGCGCTTTATACAACAATATCTAGCTCATATTTCTCTTTATTACTTATAGATGGACGACTGTTGTGGGATTTTCTGCAACAGCTGTTGAACGATCGCAACCAGAAGTACAGCGATCTAATAGCCTGGAAGTGCCGCGATACGGGAGTCTTTAAGATCGTCGATCCCGCTGGACTGGCCAAGCTGTGGGGCATCCAGAAGAACCATCTGTCCATGAACTACGACAAGATGTCGCGTGCCCTGCGTTATTACTACAGGGTTAACATACTGCGCAAGGTGCAGGGCGAGCGACATTGCTATCAGTTTCTGCGCAATCCCACGGAGCTGAAAAACATTAAGAATATATCTCTGTTGCGGCAAACGACGCCGGCGAATGGCAATGGCGGTGGATCATCTATGCCACAGGGCAGCAATCAGGCGCCTGGAAGTCCTGCTAGCCAGAATTGGAACCCCCAGCAGCAGCAACAAACACAGCAGCAATCGCCCCAGCGTCCCGCCTCGCGGAATGGCCCGATGAGCCTTCCCGCCGTTGCAGCGGTAGCAGCAGCAGCTGCTGCGGCCTATGGCCCACCACCCACATCGCCGCTCTTCATGCATGCGATAAATGGAGCCTTCCACTACCTTTCGGCGGCGGCAGCTGGTCCGCCACCCAATTCCCCTGCCTTGAATACCCCATCCGCTGTCGGAGGTCCCGACAAGTTCCAGTTCCATCCTCTGAAACTGGAAAATGGCTCGGGATCAGGATCGGAAAGCGCTGGCGAGGATCTGAAGCCCACGGATTTAAGTGTGAGCAGCAAAAGCAACGCCCCCAGCAACGAGGACTGCTATCCGTAAGTGAATTGTCTTTTAACTTAAATTTATACGGCTATGCTAATTAAAACTTTCGCTCTGTAGACTCATTCGCAATGCTGACGGTCTGACGACCATTAAGCTGATACGTTACAATGATCACCAGGGAGCACCTTCGCCAGCGGAGCAGTCCCCCAAGCCAGATGACCAGCAGACTGCCGCCTCCAATGCTAGCAGCTCACCCAGGCCAATGGATCAGGCCAGTGAGCAGGCTCAGCCCGTGCCCATGGACAGCGAATGCAATGCCGGCGAATCGGAGGATTCCTTCCGGCATATGCGGCAGTAGGCTGAGCAGTTTCCTGTGACAATCACCTAACTTCTTCCATCTTCCCCTCCCTCCTGAACACACAACATTACCTGAGCTAAATGAAATGGGACCAGCACACCAAGCGCACAGACATGTAGACAGAAACTCTGCTGGATATAAATCTGGAGGCCTTTCGGTTAGGATGGGTCGTTCATAATGAAATCGAAACGAAAAACTGACAAAATGTGGAAGGGGAAAGTAATTGTTCGAGAATTTGAAGCAATTTGACTTAGGAATTTATCATGTAAATGAGAACGGTAGCATTATTCTTCCTTAAATTAAAATTGAAATTTAATATTCAATTTATAAATCAGATTTCTTCAAATTTATCCTTAAATCACTTTTTACTTCCACATTTCTGGAATGTGACCCGCCTGACTTTCTGTATATAGAATTCACATCTGCATAAACAAACACACAATCATACATACATATATTTTCTACATCAAACGTATTTATTAAGCTAATCTAAGCGAAAGCAGAGTGCATGTAATTTCGTTGTTGTAAGTAGATTTCTTGAGCCGGCGCAGCGCAGCCTTCGATTATGTGCCAATTTCTACATTTATCAAAAAAAAAGCCTAACCATCAATCATACGAGAAATGAGTAGCGATTAAGGAGTAAAAAGTAGCCAGTAGCGTAGACCGTAAGTGTTGCCACCTTTGAGCTTTACAAATGTTGCCTCAACAATGGTTTCAAATTTATGAAAACAAAAAAAACCAACAAACATTGTTAAAATCGAAAGAAAGTGAAGGAAATATGAAATTTAAATTGTTGGCGAAATTGTTAATTAATATACAAATCAGCATAGAAAGAGTTTTTGTATACCAAGGCAAATTGATTTCTTGTGATAACAACAGAATTATCTTTGATTCACATTGGCTGAATTGTCCCGAAAAAGGAGCAGTTCCAAAAAGCAAAACTGAAACAGTTTTGTGATCCTTCGATCCTTCAATCGAGGATGGGGCTGCTCTTTCTTCACAGTCAGCCTGAAAAGAGAGCTTTCAAAATTCAATTTCAATTGAGCCCCTAGCCCTAGATACACTGCAACAAGAAAACACATTATAAACATTTAAAAAAACATTGGCTTCCATTTTTATATAGCAATGATGATACACACAAGCATATATGTATACACATTAGTTTTCTATTATTATCATTATTATTATTATATTATTTTCACGTTAGTTTAAGGGGCTGCAATTAAATGGCAGCCCAGCAGCAGTTGCAGCAAATGAAGGTGTTCATTTAAGCATTAACAACTTTAGTTTGTAAAACGCTTACGATCTTACCACACACACCCCACCACCCACTCACCCGCTAAGAACAATGAAACAATAGAAAATGTATATTTGAAGCACTTTTTAATTATATTAATAGAACGAAGCGAGTTATGGAGAGATATCATCAATGCACGTTCATACATTTAGCCTGTAGTGCAACTGTAATTATTAATTATTGTGTAGATCTATGGTAAAGATAATTTTCTATTTGTTTTTCGTACGCCTTAAGTTTAAACACCGCCAATAGCTAATAATTAGCACTCTAGTGTCGCCACAATACCTGTTCTTCCATTGAAAACTTTATCTTTCGATCAATACATAATTTATATATGTATAAAAAAAGAAACAAATTTATATGCAATAAATAAATTGAAAAGTGAAATTCGAGATCCTAAGGATCGACTTTGTTGTTATCTTTGGGCCCTGACTTTAAATTGAGTTGTTTTTAACTGGGCGATTAATATTCATTGCGTTTTTGAAAATTCACAGAAAGTATTGTTGCCAAGGCCAAACAAATATGAGAGGCGTTTTTCAATGAAAAGATTTCTTAAATCTTAAACTTTTTTTAAAAATCCTGAATCCACTATGGTCAAAGGTTATTTGATATTAGATGAGCTCCTGATTGTCCAAGAACTCGCGAATCATATTCCTGCAGGACTTAAGCAGGGACTTGTTGCAGGTGCGCTCATTATTGGGGATAGTCCTGGTTTTGGCCTTGGTTATCGACTTATTGCTCACCGAACTCTCGGATTTGGCCGGTGTCAAAGATCTTCGCAGAATGTGTGATGGTATAGAGCGTTTCTTTAGCGGCTGGCTGGCGACTGGCGGACGAACTGTCTGATCCTTGGGCGTAGTATTATCAACCACTGCCGGCGGAGGAGTTGGGGAACAGGACTCGGTGTAGGATATAATATTGCTGCAAGCCTGGCGATCGTATTGGTAGCGAAGCAACAGGAGAGCCGCAGCGGCCTCCAGTTCCAGGGCACTGTGATTAGCCACAGATACGTCTTCCACTTCGGATTCCCTTACTGGGGAAGGAGTCGCTTGCTTGCGTTTGTTCAACATGCGTTTGTACTTCATGATTGGAGTGTCGAGAAGGAACTGATGTCCTGGTAACTTCAGTACCAGCTTTATATAGATCGTAGATTTACCTGATCCGCCCTTGACCCACTCTGAAGTTCTACCTACCTAATTGGTCGGTAATCCCAGAAGCCCTATAGGTATCGGTAACCTTCGGGAAATTACCTGACATTATCCGAGGGTCAATTTTAGCACCATTTATTTATAGATCCTAGAGTTATTCTGGCTACGTATTGGCCGCTAATCTGCATTACCCTAATAAGCCAGGTGCAATCCTTTCCAAGACAGATGTCTGCTTTATTATGCTGAGTTGCTGTGGAATTCAATTTTGAATTCTCGGAATGTTCAAGAATCAACTCGGATAATAAGTAACCTTTGAAAAATATTGTTACATTAAAAGATTTTGTTTCTTTCTATTAAAACCCAGTTTATGTTGTAAAAAAAACATGGAAATTCCAAAGTCCCTCATGTTTATTTTAATATAAATGAAGACAAAAACGCTTAAGTCTAATTAAATAATGAATGCCTCATGATCTAGCGAGTTTTAACAGTAAAAATGCAAATGTAAACATGTTGTGTCTTACGGGAAATTTTTGTCAACAAATTTTTTGGTAGATCTTTTATTAGGAAAATTACACACAATTCAACAGATATCCGCTTATCCACGACTTTTACATATTTACATGCATACGCATATTGCTGCTACATAACCGTATCAATGTCGTCGACTACAAAAAAAGGTTTATTCCAAAAATAATAAAACTAAAATTTCTGTTGCATTGCGTCATAGCCGTTCGTATCTAGTTGCAGTTGCATGTGTACACAGTAAACACAGTTAAAGGCATTCGGTTCTGATCGTTTGTGTTCGGTGCGGGCTGATTAGCTTTCCAGGATAATGATTATATCTTTTCCTTGGTCCCTCGGGACACTGGGTTCTCTACGCGTGAATCTCGAACAGTTTGGCCACCTCATTGAGGTCATCGTACTTCTTATTCTGATTGATTATTGTCCTAGCTAAGCCTATCCGATTGAAGAGGTTCCACAGCAGGATGCCGACAATTTTGTCGTTCTTCAGATAGAATATCACACCCTTTCCATAGTTGGCCACCTCATCGGGATCACAGGTAACGCCATCTGGGCTATCGACGGCATCGCTTTTCCTCGACTCGCTGGAACTCGTGCTCGGAGAGCTTTCATCTTCAGTGGACTCGGGCAGTTGGTCTACGCGATTGGCGGCATCCGAGGGCAGAGCGAATACTCCAACGGTCGGCAGCGAGGAGTCCACCAACCCTATGCCCTCGTACCCAATCTCAGGACCCAGATCGGACCAAAACATACTTTGATGCTGGTAGGGTTTCTCTGTAAATGAAACAATAATGTTTGTGTGTCGATTTTTTGGAAGAGAGATTAGCGGCTTACTTGCTCCCGTCATGTTCTCGCCAGCCAGTCGGCCGGAGACCACCGAGTGATCATGGTGCTCAACGCGCCGCCTGCCCAGCAGAGGATCGAAGAAGCAGGAGGCGTCGCCGGCCACATATAAATTCCTTCTGGCCTCAAGTTCTGCATTGACCACGAAACCGCCGAGGCTCCTGTCCACCTCCAGTCTGCTGGGGCCCGCAAGCTCTGTGTTCGGTGTGCAGCCAACGCAGACTACTACCACGTCGGACATCAGGGTCATGCCATTGTTCAACTCCAGCTTCAGATTGGTTTCATCCCTGACCGCCGATCGGATGCTGGCATTGGGGATGACGCAGACGCCCTGGGCTTCCATCTTGGCCGTCGTCCAACGACTCAGATAGTTTGGCAGGACCTTCGACATGTTGGCGTTCTCCTGGAACACTTGGTACACCTTGCCGCCATTGTTCTCCCTCGAATAGTGGGCCAAAGAGCAGGCCAACTCACTTCCGATAAAGCCATTGCCGACAATAGTAATAGAACGCTTCTCAGCGGCCAATCTTCGAAGGCGGTCAAAGTCATCGGGTGTGCGATAGACCATTACTTTCTCGAGCACGCTTGGCGGAGCATCGCGGAGCATTGTCAGATTTTTGGGTGAACAGCCCGTGGCAATCAGGCATTCGTTGTAGCCAATTTCGTAGCCGTCGTTCAGTGTCACAATGCGTTTTTGCGCGTCCACCTTCTTCACAGCGAATCCCTGGGCAACGGATATTCCGCCGTTCGCACTGTCATCCAGATCCTCGGGGTCCACGAAAAACTCGTCCGGTTCGAAGAACAAGCTGGAAAGGAATCAAGGGATTAAAAAATTTATAATAGTGATATGGTAGGCCTACCTCCTCTCGGATCCCGTCCATTGCTTAAACCGGTAATCCTTGATGGGATCCTCGTTGGGATTGGGTGTGTACCACAGTTCCTTGGACAGCGGCGGGCGCATATAGGGCTTGCGGAATTCATTGCTGATCATCAAAACCTTGGCGGTCGCATCGTTGGACTTGATAGCTCGGAACGCAGAGAAGGCGGCGGTTCCACCACCAACAATAAGGTACGGTACATGCTTGGGAAGGTCCTCAGAACTGGGCGGACCTGCAAAAATAGTACAAAATAGAAAACTTGTTAAAAATCTTGATAATCTTTTTAAAATTGACAAATATCTATTTTGAATGTTCCTCTCGCTTTAATATGTAAACCTAATGGCTTATGATAAGCAACATGATAACTTGTTCGTCATTTTTTCGTAATTATTGTCCAATCATCCTGATTTTGGGCTATGCAATGGAGTTCTGATCTTATCTTATCTGAATATCAAATGGCAAAATTTTTGTGAGCCTAGAGAGTTCTTTATACCGCATTTTTATAATGACTTTTATACCGATTTTAATAATTTCTTTAATTTTTATATAGGATTCCACTTACTCGTAGCTAGTCCAGCTATCAATCTACGTTTCCGTTCTTCCTCCTCCTCTTGGGCTTTCTTGGCTTCACTATCATCCGTTTCTCGCGTCATGAACCAAGCGATCTATCAAATTAGCAAGTAATTAGAGGGTTGTCATAGAATATCCAAGGCAAACATACCAATCCTCCGGCAAGCAAGGCAGCCAAGGCACCAAGCAGGCACTTGAGCCGAAGGTCCTTCATTCGGCACTCGCACTCCTCGTCGCCACCACTACCGCTGCCTGGAGCCGTTCCATCTTCATTGCAGGGTTGGCATTTGGTCTCCTTACGTTTGCGTTGAAACTCCTCACAGGCATTCGTGGGCTTGCAGGAATCTAAGACTGGCTGGCTGGTGCTGAGTTTCGCACTGTCTGACTTAAGCACATCCTTGGCGCTGAGGACTGTCTTACTCTCAGCAAAGCCCTGATAATAAGTTTATATATTAGCTAAAGAATATATTTAAGGGTCTCGGGCGGAGATGCAAACAAGGGTTATGGTTCGAAAACGATTATAAAGGTATTTTAGGAACTATTTCAACAGATAGAACGGAACCACTTTGTAGAGTTTAGGTTCCCCTGGTTTGCATCCCCGAAATCAGCCAACTAAAGTGGATGAAGGATGGGATGAGCGATGGGTACCACTTTGAAGAGTGGCTCTGACTGAGAGGGGGCTTGAAACTGGGCATTGGCAAATCCAGAAACGCCGGTGGCCTCCACAACCGCCTCGCACTCTTCACTGGGGGGCATGTTCGAGGTCTTGACGACGCAGGCTTGATGATTCGGATATTTGTTGGCTTGCAATTTAGTGCGCGCCTCGAGGGTGCGTTTCTTTACCATTTGATAGAGGCTGCTGTGCGCTGGTCGGCGAATGGCTGAAATGGAGGAGGAAGCGCGACGAGATTAGTGCAAAAAACATGAAAACACAGATCGGTAAAGGCAGATCGGCCCTAACCACACTTACCGTATGCCGGTGGGGATCGCTGCGGCACTGGACTTAGAATCCTCCTGTTGGCCAGGATATAAGCCTGCCGGATGAACTTCTGCGTCAGACATCGGACACCCCAAATACTCATCGCGATTTACACTGATTCCGGAACAATTGACACTCTACAATTGTGTAACAACGTTGTGCGGCAAAAGAAACGTGTGTGGTGTGTGCGAGTTTGTGTTTTGTTTACAAAAAAAACCAATTTCTATGACAAATTTCTCCGTGTGATGTCCGGCGGGGTTTAATTGATCTTGACTCCTTAATCCCTCCTTGCTTTTTGGTTTTATCGGTTGTCCGCCTCCTTTTATTTTTCATTCCCTCGCCTGTTTTGTATTGTTGTTTTTTCCGTCTCTGTCTCAGTGTGACCGTCACCGCGTTATGCGAAAATGTCAAACTATTTTTTTAAATGTCCGGCTCGCGAAATACCCTTTAGTTTTTCGAATATTTGAAAAAGCAGTTTATGTAAGAGCTTAAAAAAATGTGAATAAAAAGATTCTACCCTAGAAGGAAATTGGAAGAGGAATTGGAATCTCTTTTAGGATGTACACAGCTTTAACAAGTACTTTATTTATGACTTATTAAAGCTACCTAATTTTGTAAAATATTAAAACTTGTTCAAATTAAAATAGATTTTAAACGAGTCTCAATAAAAATTAAAATTCGTTTCCTCAAACCGAAACGTGTTAAAAAATAAATGCCTATCGATTTTGTAAGCATAGTCAGTTTATTTGTGCAAAATAATCATTAAATAAATAAGGGAAAATTCATATGCTTGTAATTTTAAAAATTCATTTATCTGCTTTTACCTGTTGCAAAGCAGCAGCTGCAACTGCACCGCTCACAGGAGCCTTGATCCCCAAAAGGTGGCACAACTGGTTTCTCAGCGGACGCACCTCCACCAGCGGCATGGTCCAATCCGTTTCCGACAGCAGTGTCAGGATCTCATCCATATTATCCTCGGGAACTTCAGTGACATCGCCGTGAAGTGCCAGCGCTTCGTATAATTTTGTGGCAGCGGTTTTGCGCACATGGACATGCTGCAGCCCAAGGAATACTGAAAGTTTTGAGAGTATGCGTTTGGACAAGCGAGGAACCTGCAGCAACTGACAAAAAGCACTAATGCTGGTTGCGGTCTTATACAGCTTCTTGTAGCCCTTAACCTCCAGGTTTAACAGCCTGAAGATATCCTCTGCAAATGGGTTTGCTTCATCGTGAAGCACCGATTCAAGAGTGCCAGATCCAATGAGTATATCCAGGAAACTGAGCATGGGGTAGGTCACGCGCTCGTTTAGCAGGTGCTCCTCAAAGATCTGAACAACCTCGGAACAAAGGCGCGGCACAGTTTCTGGATTTGATCGCAAGAATTGGAATAAGGCACTCGAGGCATACTTAATCTGCAGGGAAAAATAGGTTGATTAGGTCAGATTTCATAAAAGCATCTCAGAATTACCAGAGATTCAGTTAGTTGACCAATGCTGGCACTCAGGCCCAGAAGCACTCTTTTAGAGTAATCTGGCAGAGCCAGCAGCTCACAGAACATTGGGAATGTGTGATCGGCAAATAGCCAAAGCACGGAATCTGCATCCGCGGGAAAGATTTCCAGAAGTTTTAAATGCTCTCGTACATATGGTATCCTAGGCTGATGATGAATCAGTTGGCAACAAAGGCGACCGCCTAATCCTCGTGTGCGATCAATTTTCTCTACAGCCTGCTGCATGAAACCTACCACAATTTCGTGAACATGCTCAGGGACAAGGAGATCACATGGGCACTGAGTCACGATCTCGTAGAGCGATGACATGGCCGCCTCCCTTACCCAAGCTCCAATATCGCCACGATTATCTAGGGTGTATTCATCCAAAGCTTTGAGAAGACATCCGATAACCTTGTTAAAGTTTTTACGCTCGGCAAACGAATCTGGAAAAGGACGACTTCTATATATCTTCATACGCTATTAGTTGCGATCCGAGACTCACCGATTTCATCAGTATATCCCACCGTTTTCACAACTTTAAGCAAGGCCCTAACACTTTCAGTGCGAGCCTCGCTCCACCTGTTAGTCTGAATATTTTCGCGGCCACCCATTTCACTGTTCAGTACAGCTTGCAATGGAGTCAACGAATGCTTCACCAGGCTATCCAAAACAGCCGGCAGATGAGGACGGATCATATAGGATGGGAGCACCCCCAAAGCAGCTATGTATCCCATGCGTATATGCTCCTCTAAATCGTTCTCGGCTCCCTTCAAATAGGAATTGATAATGTCTTCGTTCTCCTGGTGTCTGATGTCTAAGCAGTAATATGTAGCACTAAGTTCGCCAAATGCATCTACCGCAGAGTCACGAATGGAGGTTGATTGAGTCACCAGACAAGAGTCTATTACCTTCTGCCAGGAAGCTGGAAGGAAGCAATCAATTTAATTATGTTCTAAGCGTTATTTATTTAGCATTTTCCTTACCCAAACAATCGGTCGTCGCCTGCAGCTTGGCCAGACTGCAGTTCTTGATATAGTTGGTCGTACAGGACTTCATCAATTCTCCGCTCATTCCGCGATAGCAGTTTCTATCTAGGAACGTCTTAACCAGTTCGTTCAGCTCTACAATTCGCTGGTTGGATAGGTAAGTCACAGGAGGATCACTCTTTTCCTCCAGGTTACGCAGGGCCAGAATTATTTCTCCCATGGCCAAAACGCAACCATGTCGGCAGTTTATATCTATGGTGTCGGTCTTAGCCAGCAGTTGTGGCAGCACCACCGCAGCCATGTACTCTGGTTCCTTTAGTGAAAGCTTATGCAGAGCTTTGGCCGTCAACTCCCTTATGGCAGGATCCCAATGGTTTACTTTATGTTGTACCAGGTGATTAATCAACGGTTCCCTGTACACCTCAAATTGTGCAATATAGTCACTAATGTTCAAATAGGAATTCTGCCGAATGCCCACAGAATAAAAGTCCGTGGTGGTGGATATCTCAATGCCGAAGGGAAAGTTTCCCAAGCGACCAACACTTTCCTGGAATGCGGCAGAGGCAGCTCGTCTGCAGTTTACCTCTCGATCAAAAACGGCCACAATCAACAATCCAGATGAGATTTTTTGCACAAAAGGCTTCACGTCTTCTGGATTGTAGGCCCTGGCAAATGCCCAGCACATATAGCAGGCAGAATCACGGATGTGCTGTCCTACGGACATGTAACCCTTCATTTCATCGTAAAAGAGAGCCTGCATAAGAAGAGGGACCAACTCCTCCAATCGATGTGGCAGCAGCAATCCCCTTTTAGCCAATTCCGCCAATGCCAAACAGGCACCGTGCCAGGCTTCGTGGGGCTCTAGTGGGCTCAGTATATCAATCACTGAGCCGATAACCTCATCGGCCAGCTCCTTGGGCAGTCGATTGGTGACTCTACCCAATCCTTTAGCTGCACTCCAACGTATATCGTTTCCGCCGCTTCGCAGGGCTTGGAGTAGCTCCTCAATCACCTCTTCGATGGCATCCGGCACTAGGATCTCCTCCCCTTCTTCTGGCGATACTTCCAAAGCAGCTGATTCCCCTCCTGCACCAGCAGCCTGTGTGAGATTGGTGGCCAGTGAACGGGTGCCTAAAAAAAAATTAAAATGTTTCAATCGTAATAAAATTAACACTTAAACTCACCTCTTTTATACCGCCAGCTGGCAATGCGTGGCTTCAGATGCACCAATCCGATTCTCTGTACAATTTTCACATAGTTTTTGTACTTGAGAAAGTCATTGCCATCCTTGTACTGACAAGAGGTGATCCACTGGAGAAGTTTGTCCGCGTAGGGCAGAAGATCCTCCCTTTTGCCGTGCTTTAAAATCGCTGCCACTGCAGCCAACTGTCCGAACTTGACATCCACCGTATCCGCCTGGTGCTGCTTCATGATCCAGTCGAGGAATCGCTCCAGATACAGATCCTTGATGTCGCTACGGATGAAATACTTGGCGGCCAAATAGGCAGCCATGTTGCTGCAGGTGTCATTGTTGGACACATACAACTGGATTAGCTCGTAAATGCGTTCCATCTTGGTGCTTTTCGACTGGACATGGTTGATAGGGCTGCAATTAACTGCGGGATTGGGAGCAGTTTCGTAAGCATCCAATCTCGACATGTGAAAGGGATTTAGGACCAGGATGGACATCCAAAGGAGAAGTATATAGCGCGTTTCCCACTGCTCGAACTCCTTGGGATCCTGCTGGCCCAGCAGATCCAGGACAAACTCCAGATCGCTCAGTTCGTGGGGCATAAATTTGACCAATACTTTATAGGTGCGAACTTTGCAAATTATATACAGGTACTTGAAGGCCGCATGGCGTTCTCCTGTGTCCAGATCCTGCCGCCTGATCTTCTGCAGCAGCTTGCCCAGCAACGTCTCCAAATGTGGATCCAACAGATGCGGTTGCTCCTGATATCTGGACAAAATCTGAGCGTATTGCTCGAACTCCCTTTCAAAGGTTCCAGCCCCGATCGACCTGATGTTTTCAATCATCTCCAGCACCTGCTGCAGTTCGGTGAAGTGCTCCAGCGTATTTGCGGGCAGGTCCTCATCCCTGCATTCCTCAGCAGGATTCGACATGGCTGTTTGGCTATCTATTTAAGATTCAAAACAACAGCCGGCAAACAATAAGCGACAGTTTTGTGAATCATTTCTTTTTCTAATAGAGTTGCCACCGTTAGTGTGGCCGTCCTTCGCGCATCCCATAATCCAGCAACAGCTGTTCGGTCAGAGTTGCCATGTCAAGCCCAGAACAGCAAAGCGGAGCTGCGAGATTGCATCGCAAACATAGTTATTATTTGCCTTTCAATTTACTCCAAAGAAAACGAAATAAAGCAAGCTAGGTTCAAGGATCCCGCAGTAAATATTAATTGAGTAACCGCTCACACAATCGTATAGTTTGCTGTGTGCGCGGTGAGTGGAAAAGGTCGCTTGAAATATCGAAAATCTGCAAGAGCATTTATTGACAAGCCACGGTTGCTGCCCCTGTAAACCATGAAGTCCGAAAATTTTCGCCTTATCGCGGAGGTGGCCAAGAGGCGGTGTCTATGGGACACCAACATGTCTATGGCATACCGCAAGGAGGATGGAGCAGCCCAGTGGGCTTGTGTGGCGGAAATAATGCAGCTGGATGGTGAGTGCGCGGGCATTGGTTTTGGGTCTTTGTGCCTAGGCAACTATAAATATCACCTGGCTTCTGGTTTTTTTTCGCAGTCTTGGTCTGCAAGAAGCGTTTTAAGGGATTGAGGGACAGCTACCGGGCGGAGGTGCGCAAGATCCAGCAAAAACGCATCGAAATGTCCCATTGGACGTACTTCCGCTCCCTGGAGTTCATGCGCCACATCTTCGATCCAGAGCGACTGGTGCCCTTTCCACCGGAGGCCTACGATCTGGACGCCGAACAGCCGGATGACTGCGAATCCACCCGGCTGGTGGACTTTGCCATCGATGTGGATTTGGACAACGATGACTCTGTTGACTTTGAGATCATCGGGGACATCTTTAAGCGGGAATCCTCTTTGCCACAAGATTCGGGGTCGGATGGTGGCTCGCTGATCAAGCCGCTGGACCCGACTGCCCATCGATCCGACCATGAACTGTCGCCCAGATTGATTTCGCCCATGCCCCTGCAACCCAATAACTTGAGACGCCCCCAGCCGCCTGCGAAGAGGGTTCGGCGCCGGAAGACATCGTCCTCGTACGATAGCCCCATTTCGAACGGCAAGGCCACTCCTAATTATCCTGCTGATGGGGATCTGAAAAACGATTCGGACTACAGCTTCATGGTGAGCATGGTGCCGCACGTCAAGACTCTGTCGCCCATCGGGAATCTCAAGTTTCGAATGGAGATGGCCCGCGTTTTGGTGGAACTTAGAAAAGAGGATCAGCAGACACCCGAAGGACCGGGAGCAGGTCCTAAATTGTTGGGGCCGGTCGGATTGCCACGACTAACGCCCGCTCCGGACTCCAGTTTCGCCTCTCATCTGGATAATTCCCAGTACTATTTTTCCAATTCCAGCTACCCAAATGGTAGCCCACAATCCCCATCCTCCTACGATTATGTGGACAGCTCCCTGATCGAATGCGATGTCAAGATTGAGAACGAAGCCTTGCTCTAAGAATCGGGACCCAGTTCTCTACCAATTAGCAATCATCCAAATTTATATTACGATCGATTTTACATTCAGTTTTCTGAAGAAATACCCCCACAATTTTTTTTCTGAATTGATGAAAATTACTTCTCAATTATTCAAAGTTGGTTATTGATTCAAAAATTCTGTTTGTACATCATAAGCATAACCCATAATATTTAACATTATTTTACATTGCCCAAACAATTTTGCCAATTTCTGAAATATGTGCAAATAATTTGCATCTGTTAAAAGTATACATTTCGCATTGTCAGGAGTCAAGCTAAACATAATAAACAATTTTATATTTGAAGGAATGAGTTTGGTTTATTAAAATAAGAATATAAAACATCGATTCAGCTGAAAGAGGATTCAATTATAAACATTTTTTCCCTCGCTGTTGTAATAAAATAAATAGATCATTTACAAATTTTGACTAATATTTATCATGGTTACTTTTGGAAGAGACGAATATTGATAAAATGTAAGGATTTTTAATGCGATAAGGAAGTGTGATCTTTTTATAGTCTTTTTGAAAAACAATATTGATTTGAAACCACTTTTCTTTAAAAAAAATCATTGTGTTCATTTTTTGAGAGTCTGGAGAAATGCTAATGGACATCAGTAAATTCAGAGAATTTGAATAGATTTTAGATTGCACTTCCAAGAGAATCGTAATTTATATGCGCATACAAATATATAAAAGGGTCAATAACTTACAACTCTGCCTGCAATGTTCGAGGTTTTGGGGAAAATTAAACACAATTCGGATAAAAAATGTATTTCAGATAATAAATTGAATAGTTTTTAAAAAATGTTTTGTGAAATCATGAAAGTGGTTCCGATTCAGCAGTGCTGTTTTGAATTGGTTCCATTTCCATATGTTCCAATTTGTTCTTTAGGATTTGAAATGTTTTAAATTCATTGTATGTAAAAAAGTATATATTTTAAATTTTGCACATGGAAAAATAAAATAAAATATTATTTTTATAAGAAATATGGAGGTAAATATTTAAAGATACGTGAGGAACGTATATTCCACTAGTGAGTTTCAAAAACATTCTTCTCTCGCACTTTTTAATCCGCTGAGTATAAGAATACGTACACTTGAAAATGGAAACAAGTAAAAACCGGCTTCAAGTAAAATTCCTAAATCGTTGTCTTCGGTTTTCTGTGAAAAACATTTCAGAAACATTTTACTTAATGTTTCATATAACCGTTCCCGAATTTAGGGCATTTTTGTTTTCCCGCTTGGCATATACTTCGGTACCCGGCACGGTCACACTGGCTGCACTGCTTCAACATCAAAGTGTGAAAATTTGTCAAATATTTGGACAAGTACAGCTATCTAATCGATTTGGGAGCGAGTTTAGCCCTCGCATCAAAACACCCATTTGTTCCACCTGATCCGGACATGCAGAAATCCACAGACCGGGTGCGGCGCCTCAAAAAACTGAAGAGCGTTACGGGGACGCAGGATGGTGGCAGCGGCGATGGTGGAGTGGCGGCGACGGCGGCGGAAAACCGGACGTCGGAATCCTCGGACACAAACGGAGGAGCCGCCAGCGGATCTTTCAATTCGGAGATCTTCAAGCATTTTGACAAATCCGGACGGAGCGAATTGTACGTGGTTCCACGCTCTCAGACACCGATACAAACGCAGCCAGAGATATACACACACGCGCACACACACACAGTCGCAGCATAAAGTGACTGCCAGAAATTTGTGTCCTGCTGCGCTGGATATTCGCGCGCTCTTGTGTCGACTGTTTGGACCCACTGTTGCTCGTTCGTTTCCCCTAGCTAAATAACACGTTTACTTCTAGCCTGAAGTACCTCAAGCAGCAGCTGCAGGATGCGGCGGACAATCCCGTCTACGACCGGAACGGCGTCTTCAAGCAGGGTGTCTCCAACGCCATCTACGAGCTACTTTGGCAGGCCCTCAGATTCACCCACAAAAAGGACTTGGTGCTCCATCTGCTCATGGAAGTCGTGGTAAGTGGGAAAGATTGGAGATTTTGTCAGAACCTTTATAGGGCTTCCTTCGTTTAAATCTTCTCTAGACGGAGGGAAACCATGATTGCTTAATAAATCCGTTAATCGATTTACATAAATTAATTTAATTAAATCTTTTAAAAAACTTATTTTTAAATGATGGACAGTTTAAAAATCAAATGACCTTTATAGGTTTCTTCACCGAAATAAAAGTTAATATGATGGGGAAAAAACCTGGTTTGTTTTAGTGTTTTACAATGCGTTAATTAATCTGAGAAAGATGCAGATGCTATACACTCTAGAATTATCAATACTTTCTTTATAAGATTTTATTTAATAAAAAATTTATAAAAATGAACTTTTTTCAGGCACTTCACGCGGAGTTTCCCAGCCTTATATTGGACGTGATCAACATACTTGACAACGAAACCTCGCTTATGACCGAGGGACTGCATGAGGAGCGTCATGCCTTCGTGCAACTAGTCAAAGACATTGACAAGGTGGTTCCAGAAAGTCTGCTAAAGGAGCGATTGGATATTGACACGCTGCAGGAGGTGGGCATTGTCAAGCATAAAAGCTTCTACTCCAAGTTCATCAAGGTCAAAACCAAATTGTAGTATGTATCCAAACGTTAATTTAAGATTTATAAATTATGTAATTTCCCCATAATTATTTAAGCTACAAGCAGCGTCGTTTTAACCTTTTCCGCGAGGAGAGCGAGGGATTTGCCAAGCTTATTACAGAGCTAAATCAGGAATTTGAAGAAAACACCACGCCTGAGAGCATTATGGACATTATTAAATCTCTAATAGGTAATAGATTATACTATAGTATTATTGTAAAGCAATATCAAGGAAATTCGAAACTGTCTATCGACTTAGTTATACTTAAATAATAACTACTATTTATAACCTAACAATAATAAATCTTATTCGTAGGCTGCTTCAATCTGGATCCGAATCGCGTGCTGGACATTATTATCGAGTCCTTCGAAACTCGCCCGGATCGCTGGAACTTGTTCATTCCCCTGCTGCGCAGCTATATGCCCACTGGTGCCATTATATGCGAGGTCCTTGGATATAAGTTCTGCCACTTTAAGGGCTCCCGCACGCCCCGCTCTTTATATCATGTCTGTGCCCTTTTGCTGAAGCACGGCGTCATCGCGTTGAACGATGTCTACGTCTGGTTGACCCCAAACGACGGGAGCATCAAGGCGGACTGGGAGGAAGAGTTGGCAGATGCCAGGGAAATGGTGCGCAAACTTAACCTCATCCAAACCAACAAGAAGGAAGACGAAAAGGACCCGCCACCACCGCCTACGGTTAAGAAGTTCAATGAGGTAAACTTGATGAAAGGTTTGAAAGAACAAATTAAATTTGAATTAACATATATATCCCTCTGCAGGAAAAGTATAATGTCAATCAAAAGTTCGGTCTTTGCGAAGCTTTACTCAAAGTGGGTGATTGGGAGAATGCCTACAAGATTATCCAAAAGCTTCCCGAGCAGGCGGTAGTTCTGCAAGAACCTATCGCCCGTGCCATTGCCGAACTCATTCACCTGTCCGTGGAGAACATCTACTACAAGAAGTGCTTCAAGGCTCCCGCCGGACGAAGACAGAGCCGAAATCGCTTGTACGACGATTCCAAGCTGGTAGCCAAGATGCAGGCAAAGGAATTCAGCGATCTGAGGAAGTATACCTGGCCAATGGCTAATGTCTTGGGACCTGCCATGCACTACGACACTGTGCTGATGTACAAGCTAATCCGAATTATGCGGAAACTAGTTGTGGAGATGGGCGTGGACAGTTTAAACGGACCTCCTCCAAATTCGGAGGCGGAGCAGCATTACTATGACATTATGAGCTCGCTGGATGCGTGCATTTTACCCTCGCTTCTCTACCTGGACAACAACTGCTCCATGTCGGAGGAGATCTGGGCTGTGCTCAAATATTTCCCGTACCATTTCCGCTACAGTTTGTATGCGCGTTGGAAGAACGATAGCTATCAGCTGCATCCAAATTTAATCAGACGCTGTGGACTGGCTCAGCGGGATATCAAGGCGCTGATGAAGAGAGTGAGCAAGGAGAACGTTAAGCAACTGGGTCGCCTGGTGGGCAAGTACAGCCACTGTGCCCCAGGCCTGTTGTTTGACTATGTGAGTTTAAGTAGTTTTTTTTTTGGAGAATTTTATAACAAATTGTTTTCCCATTTTAACAGATTCTCTTGCAAATCCAAATTTATGACAATCTCATCGGACCCGTCTGCGACATGCTTAAGTATCTTACTGCCCTGTCGTTTGATTGCCTGGGATACTGTATCATCGAATCACTGACGTTGACGGGTCGTCTCAGGTTCAAGGATGATGGAACTTCTTTATCCTTATGGCTGCAAAGTCTGGCTTCGTTTTGCGGCACCATCTACAAGAAGTACAGCATCGAGCTGAGCGGTTTGCTGCAGTATGTTGCCAATCAGCTGAAGTCTCAGAAAAGCCTGGATCTACTGATCCTGCGGGAGATCGTGCACAAAATGGCGGGTGTGGAGTCCTGCGAGGAGATGACGAATGATCAGCTGCAGGCCATGTGCGGCGGCGAACAACTGAGGGGGGAGGTAGTTTTTGGAATCTATTTTATGGTGTTCCTAAATTAAATATTTAATTTGTTTTGTTTCTTTCTCTTCACAGGCAGGCTATTTTAGTCAAGTGAGGAATACGAAAAAGTCTTCTAATCGTCTAAAGGAGGCCTTGGCCAACAACGATCTCGCCGTGGCCATTTGCCTGCTTATGGCCCAACAGAAGCACTGCGTCATCTATCGCGAAACGGCGGCGCACAGTCATTTGAAGTTGGTGGGAAATCTGTACGATCAGTGCCAAGACACCCTCGTCCAGTTTGGTACCTTCCTGGGGTCAACCTATTCGGTGGATGAGTATGTAGAGCGCCTGCCCTCGATCATAACTATGCTGCGGGAATACCACATCAACACAGATGTTGCCTTTTTCCTGGCCAGGCCCATGTTTACACACCAAATCAATGTAATACTTCTTTACAAAAATATTCTTGCTCAAAATTTTACGATTTCACATCTTTATTTTACAGCAAAAATATGACCAATTGCGTAAGGCTGATCCCAACGCCAAGAAGCTGACCACGACGCAAAAGCTGCAAAAGTATCTGGAGGCCACGCAGCTTATCATGAACCCGATCGTGGAATCCGTTCGCCCACTGCACAGCGCCAAGGTGTGGGAGGACATCAGCCCGCAGTTTCTGGTAACTTTCTGGAGCCTAAGCATGTACGATTTGCACGTCCCGAACGATAGTTATCAGCGCGAGATCGGCAAGCTCAAGCAGCTTGCCCAGCAGGCGGCCGAGGGCAAGGACTCCAACCAGTCAAAGAACAAGAAGGAGCAGGAGCGCTACATCGCACTGATGGAGAAGCTCAACGACGAGCGCAAGAAACAGCACGAGCACGTAGACAAGATCTCGCAGCGGCTGCAAGAACAAAAGGATAGTTGGTTCCTGCTTCGATCTGCCAAGTCGGCCAAGAACGACACCATCACGCAGTTCCTACAGCTCTGCCTCTTTCCGCGTTGCACCTTCACAGCTCTAGATGCGCTGTACTGCGCCAAGTTCGTGCACGCCATACACAACCTCAAGACTTCGAACTTTTCTACCTTGCTGTGCTATGATCGGGTAAATATTATGGATTTATTTGAAAGAAAATAGATGTGTATTCTCTATGTTCCCTTTCAGATCTTTTGTGACATTACTTACTCGGTGACTTCGTGCACTGAAGGTGAGGCCACACGGTATGGTCGCTTTCTGTGCGCCATGCTGGAGACAGTGATGCGCTGGCATGCTGATCAGGCCGTATTCAACAAGGAGTGCGCCAACTACCCTGGTTTCGTGACTAAGTTCCGCGTGAGCAACCAGTTTTCGGAGGCCAACGATCACGTTGGTTACGAGAACTATCGCCATGTGTGCCACAAGTGGCACTACAAGATCACCAAGGCGATCGTGTTCTGCTTGGATTCCAAGGATTTTATGCAGATCCGTAATGCTCTAATTATCCTTATGCGTATCCTGCCCCACTATCCGGTTCTTGCCAAGCTGGCGCAAATAATCGAGCGTAAGGTGGACAAGGTGCGCGAAGAGGAGAAGACAAAGCGACCGGATCTGTATGCCATCGCCTCCAGCTACATTGGTCAGCTTAAGCTGAAGACGCCTCATATGCTCAAGGAAAGCGACTTCCACCAGATGGCCGAGCGGCCCAACAAGGAGGCGCCGACCACTCCTGGAGCGCCTGGAGTTACCACCAAGGTGGAAAAGAATTCACCTACATCTCCCTCCTCGCAGGAACGGGGAACGAAGGTCGTCGGCGCAGCTGCTCCCTTCTACAACAACGAACGAAAGTCAGGCACTAAGGAGCCGGAGGTGAAACCAGGTGGGAAAAATAATTATGCGAAAATCTTTACAATTGATTTCAAGTGTATGCATTTGATTGCCGTAAACTAATTATAAAACCATATGTTTTAGCTCCCCTCACGCGCAGTGCTTCAAAGAGCCAAAAAAGCGATGGGACTAGCGTCACTATGGTGTCCACAGCCACCGCAACCGCGACGACTTCCAACAGCGATCGTGAGAGCAAGCCACGTGATCCAAGAGAATCCCAGTCTCGCAGCAAAGATGACCAGCTCGAACAGACGAACAACGGTAGCAATGGGAGCAGACCGAGTGATCCCCGCAATCGGGATTCGGAGAGAGAAAGGCAGGATCAGCACGAGCAGCGCCACGGAAGCATTAGTAGCCATCGCAGCTCCAGGGACACGGTGAGGGTCAAGGAGCGAACAGAAGCCGAGCAGCATCAGCGGTCGAGAGAGCGCTCTCAACGACTGGAGGAATTGGAGGCGCAGCAGCGGAAGCGCGAGAAGACCTCAAGACGTGGCGGCGACGAGCGAAATCGGCACGGGGATGGAGTCGAAACAGTGGATCTGGTGGGCAGCACCGATAATCGCCACTACGAGGAGTTCGAGGGACGTATGCGGGATCGCGATCTGAGCTCCGTGTCTAACGAGAGCAACGGTTCTATGCAGCATCGGCAACGTAGCCATGAGACCATTGAATTCGAAAAAGGTACGCAGCCCATCTGTAGTGATAGAATCTTAGAATAATTCTTTGCTAACCTTTGTTTTCTTTTGACTAGATTCAAAGCGTCGCAAGTTGGAGTCGTCAACCAGCAGTTCAAAGGTTAGTAGCATATGGTTGCAGACATAAGTACGCTAAGACAACAACAATATAAAACACCCACGACTACGATGACGATCGAATCTGGAGGGAAAATACACGAAGTTCCGATATAATCGATTTGCAACATCTACTCCTACTCCAAACTGCGACTCCAAAATCAACGAATCAACAACGAACCCACCACCCTAAAAAATATCAAAAAAAAAACTTATGGTTGATGTGGATGCGATGGATCTCGTTTTCACCTACAAAATTCCGTATATCTAAGTAAAAATGTAGTATACTCCTGGGTGTTAGTTTTAAACTAAGGCTAAGGTATAAGCAAAAAGTTTAACTTTTTAGAACAATGTGACAGGACCATCATTAATTTACAAAGAAATTTTTTTTATATTCAAGTTTGTTAATTAATTGTATAAGTTTAAGAATAGTTGTGTAAATAACGAACCAAATCGGATTATTGGGCTCATGAAGACGACAATCGAAAGCTAACAGACGAATCTCGATGAGAGCACGGAGGAAAACTACAGAAAAATAAGGATTACGATGGAGGAATTCGACAACTTGGAAAAAGAAGGAAAACATCATCGCCGATTGCTCCTGCAACTGTATCTACATAAGGAAAAAAACTGAAAGTATATCAACAACAACAATTTCAATAACTTCAACTACCAATACATCACAACGAAAGTCAACGATACATTGTGAAATAATGGCAACTAAGTAGTTAAGCCCGATCAATTTTAAAATACTCTGGACAGAAATGATCTTTAAAAAGCTTACCAATAAGAAAACTGGAAAAGTGTGCATAAATTAGCATCGCATCTCTAATTTATAAAAAAAAACCAACCATGCCGATCCTATTTAAATCATTCAAAGTGGATATTCAAGACTTCTCGAACTTTTGCACTTCGTGAGAACAACATGTGAATCGATCTTTCAACTTCATAAATCGAAATTGTCAAACTACATTTATTGTATGGAACCTGAAAAAATGCAACTACACTAACTACTACCGGCTTAATTTTCCCTGGATCTAATAACACCATTCAATTAACTGGAGTTCCAAGTATTGGACAAATTTTGGATAACCTACTTCCACATTCCCGAATCATCAAACTAAAAACTCCGAAACATGAATTCTCAACATTAATTAAAATGGATATGGAGGCCATCTTTATATCAGCTAATTCCATCTTAAAAGCCTATCGTGGATCGCCCCTACATTTTCACTGTGGAACTCTTGCGGCCAATCTTTGTAAACAATCCTTCAACATTGGCTTTCTGGGAGGCCTTAGACCCTGAAGCATCCTAGTGGATCTCCGACACTGCCGCGACTCTGATTATCATCTACCTGCAGTTACCTGTGCAGCCCAGTTTAGTTGTTAATTCGTTGATGTTGAGACTGTGCACGGGTAAGTGATGGGCGCGTGGTGGGGGCGGCGGACTATTTAACTATATTAAACATAGGACACCAAACTGACTCGGGCGAATACACCGACACAGTTCTACATTTTCGGTTTTTGTTAAAGTTTTAAGCAGTCTGACGCACACTTTGTGAAATATGAGAGGAAGCGAGAATTCGAATATATTTTTACAACCATTAATCCTGTGCCGTTGCAGAAGGTGGAGGAACTAGTGGACAGCGTGAAGAAGGCGCGCGGCCTCAAGACCAAAGAGCGCAACAAGGACAAGCTGTCGGATGAGGAGCGCGACGCCCGCAAGGATCGCAAGCTGGGCCGCAAGCGTGATCGCACCGATGAGTCCAACAGTAATGAACATAAGCGTCGGCGCGAAGGTGAGACAAGATTCATTTACCGGATATTCAAGACATTCAAAAACGAACGATTTTCAGCACAAAATGGCGAAGAAGAAATCCGGGAAAGAGAACGGCATAGGGTGAGTGTCATCTCTCATTGCATGGTATTGGTTGTAAACGCTGCAGCGGCTGCATTTATATCTCTTTTGCAAGGACTCATGCAGCACGAATGCTGATGCATCGTTTACAAACAGCTTAACGGCTGGAAATGACTAAATATAACCAAAATATTTCCCAATCCTTAGGAAAAGTCACCGCGGGAGCGTTCACATGAGAAATTCGATAGGGAACGGCTTGGTGCCAGCGGTTCACGAGGCGAGGACCGACAATACATCAGCAAGTCAACTCGCTCATCCAGAGTCAACTACTAAATGCAATCGGGGATTTTGCTCCCCCGTTCTGTGTATTGTGGAGCGCATTTTTTTTAATTTCTTAAGAACTAGGAATTGTTTATCCATCAGGAGCAATTATTGTAACAATGAGCGAAAGTAATTTTGAAATGTTTACAATTTTTTAGTGACTATTTTAAAAAGAAAAATCCAAACAATTATATTGTAAAAATTACAAAGCTTTTGTGTTCATTTAATGGGGACTTATAATCGCCATAAAATATGTTTTAACAAAATATGTCCATTCCCCAAAAAGATTTCTGACTTTATGTGCAAAATAAAAATGTATATTGCAGTAAGCTAATAATATGTTGGACAGTTTAATTATTGCAAGTTCCAGTTTTATCCAAAGGACCAAAATCCCATAGTAAAATACAGCTTTTATTTATTCGTTTATTTCGAATCAAATTTTATTAAATTTAAATTCATTTTTACAATTAACACTTGAACTTGAGGTTTAATCTCGATTTAAAACACGCATATCCGATATCTAAACAAGCTTGCCACTAATGTTTATTATAATTCTTTCTATTAATGTTCAATCTTTTAAGTTTTTTTTTTACTTTTAAAGTTTTCCTGAGGTCTTTTTTAGGTAGGTACCGTTGTTGGTGTTGTTGATTCGATTCCACAGTGATGAGAGAACTATTTGAATTGTTTATCTTGGATTTTTATTAAATAAAATATTAACAATTCCGGGCCGTAGCCCGTGTTTAGTTGGTTAGCTTTAGTTGTTGCTTTTGGCGCCTAAAATTGGACTTTGACTTTAACAAAAGTAAAGCACATAAATAATAAAATAATATCAAAAATTGATTTAGTTCTGAGGATCCTCCGGCGCTGGCAGCTTCTCCCAGGTGGGCTCAACGCCCCAAATCTCGCGGGCGTACTCGGCAATGGTGCGATCCGACGAGAACTTGCCGCTGGACGCAATATTGTTGATGGACATCTCCAGCCACTTGGCTTGGTTCTGAAAATAGAGATAGAAATAAGGTTTTAGAAAATATAGAAAATAGCACATCAGAATGGTCTGCTTTTTAATCATTACTCTTTCTGCTATTGAACATTTTTTAGCTCTTGGCATATATAACATTTTGGCCATTATCATTTAAAAACCTTGGGTTTTGTTAATATATTATCAAGAGGTGATTTTAAATAAATCACATTTTATAAATGTTATAGATACATTTCTGTATTAGTTATTTAGTTAAATGTTTAGTAGAATAAATATAAAAATCAATTACTGTTCATAAATGACTTTAGACTAAGTGTTTTAGAAAATCCATCTGATCTATTTAAACAGACCCACAAACCCCCGGCTTAAACTGAGGACTCTCACCTGGTAGGTCTTGGAGACCAGATCCTGGGCCTTAATGTACGCCTCGTAGTCGGCCAGCAAGTAGTAGTGGTCGTACTTGAGCAGAATGTCGGCAATGTTCTTGAACTCGTTGGGATTGCCGGGGCTGAAGAAACCGCCTTGGATCTGATCGATCACCTGCTTGACCTCCGGGTTGGTGTTGTAGTAGTCGTAGGCATTGTAGCCCTTCTTCTTGAGGGCCTCCACCTCATCGACGGTCATGCCGAAGATGAAGATGTTGTCCAGACCCATCTCTTCGGCCATCTCCACATTGGCGCCGTCAAGAGTGCCGATGGTGAGGGCTCCGTTCAGCTGGAACTTCATGTTGCCGGTGCCAGAGGCCTCTGTGCCGGCGGTGGAGATCTGCTCGGAGAGATCAGCGGCGGGCATGATCTTCTCGGCCAGGGTGACACGGTAGTTCTCCAGGAAGATCACCTTCAGCTTGTCGCCCACAATGGGATCGTTGTTAACCACATTTCCTACGGCGCAGATCAGCTTGATGATCTGCTTGGCCACATAGTAGCCCGGAGCAGCCTTGCCTCCGATCATGATTGTCCTCGGGGTGAAGTTGGCTGTGGGATCCTTCTTGATTCTGTTGTACAGGGTGATGATGTGCAGGCAGTTCAGCAGCTGGCGCTTGTACTCGTGGATGCGCTTCACCTGGATGTCGAACATGGACGAGGCATTGATCTTAACGCCGTAATCCTTCTCCAGAATGGCGGCCAACTTCAGCTTGTTCTCCTGCTTGACGCGGGCGACGTTGCGCTGGAAGTTCGGGTCCTTGGCCCACTTCTTTAGGGCAACCAGTTGGTCTAGATGCACCGGCCACTCGTCACCGATCTTCTCGGCAATCAGATCGGACAGGCCGGGATTGCAGAGCAGCAACCAACGGCGTGGAGTGATACCGTTCGTCTTGTTCTGGAACTTCTTGGGGTCCATTTCGTAGAAGTCGCGGAACAGCGAGTCCTTCAGGATCTGCGAGTGGATGGCAGCCACACCGTTGACGGCATGGGAGCCCACAATGGACAGATGGGCCATGTTGATGCGCTTCTCGCCATCCTCCTCCACCATCGACATGCGACGCATGCGGTCCAGATCGTCGGGGAACTTCTTCTTCACATTCTCCATGTGCAGGAAGTTGATGTGGTAGATGATCTGCAAATGGCGAGGCAGGATCGACTCCAGCAAGGACACGGGCCAGCGTTCCAAGGCCTCTGGCAGCACGGTGTGATTGGTGTAGGCACAGCTCCTCACGGTGATGTCCCATGCCTTCTCCCAGGTCAGGTGCTCTTCGTCGACCAGGATGCGCATCAGCTCGGGGATGGCCAGCGATGGATGGGTATCGTTCAGCTGGATGGCAACCTTATCTGGGAAGTGGTCGAAGGTGTTGCGTACCGCCTCCCGCGATCCGAACTTCGAGGCCTTGTAGCGACGGATGATGTCCTGCAGCGTGGCGGCGCACATGAAGTACTCCTGCTTCAGACGCAGCTCCTTGCCCTCGAAGAAGTTGTCGTTGGGGTACAGCACACGGGAGATGTTCTCCGCCAGATTACGGTCCAGCACGGCCTGGATGTAGTCACCATCGTTGACTGGAAATGGTAAGATAGTGATGTGTTCTATAAACCACCTTAAGGAGAATACTCACAGAACTTCAGGTTAAAGTCGATGGGCGACTTGGCGGACCACAAACGCAGTGTGTTCACGTGGTTGTTATTGTAGCCGGGAATGGGGTTGTCGTAGGGCATGGCAAACACCCTCTGGGTGTCCACCCACTTCTTGCCCTCGGGTGTGTCGATCACACGGCCGTAGAAGTTGATTGGCAACATGAACTCCGGACGTGCCTTCTCCCAGGGATTGCCAAAACGAAGCCAATCATCGGGCTCCTCAACCTGCTCACCGTTCTTGATCTTCTGGGCGAAAATACCGTACTCATAACGGATGCCATAGCCATAGGCGGCCAGACCAAGGGTGGCCATCGAGTCCAGGAAACAGGCGGCCAGACGACCCAGACCACCGTTGCCCAGACCGGCGTCCTCCTCCATCTCCTCCAGATTCTCAATGTCCAGACCCAGCTGGTACATGGCCTCCTCGCACTCGCTTTGGATACCCAGGTTGATCATGGTGTTGGTCAGGGAGCGACCCATGTAGTACTCCAGCGACAGGTAGTAGACGCGCTAAAAAATAAACGGTTGATCATTAATTAGTTGTTGGAATCGAGTTTTACTTTAAATTTTTCTAATAAAGAATATTAGGTATTGGGTTTATTTATTTGATTTGTTGTAACCGGCTTAAAGAAATTATTTTAAATCCTTTTCTATTTTTTCTTTGATTCTTTGGATTGGAAAGCATTATATATTTTGTTATATTTGTAAAGAAGTTGGTAGTACTCCTAACTAGGGAAGTTTAACAGATTAAAGAGCATAATAAAGCAGTGAAGAGAAATATTCACAACGATTTAGAGAGTGGGATCATCAAGCTTATTGGCAAACCAGTTTTGCCGTGCTTTTCCATAATGATCAGCCAAGTGCAAGGTACCCACAGCCCAGGCTCAACTGTACAGTTCATAATGCACCCAAAGCCTGATAAGCAGGGCGCCAAATTACACTGGAAACCTAGTTATGCTAGGACAGAAGGTCACCCAGTCCCCATATTCACGGTTCCCAACGGAATAATGCCTTATCAGCAGAAAAATCGCCCCGTAATTTCAGGGCAAACGAAATAGAAAACTATAAATAGAGGAAGGCATTAACAATCACCGGTTTGATTCAGTTCGAATCAATCGATCGATGTTACGAGGGCATTTATTGTGTTTATGGCAACAGCAATCTACAGATTGCAGGCTGCACTTTGCATGCTGGGCAAACATCATGGCAAAGCATGAATATATATAACTCGGAATCAGATCGGGATCATTATCGCTGCACAATGCTGGGCTAATCATCAATCGATCACGGATCACCAATCACCATTGACGACAACATCGCTGACAGTGTCGCCAGTTAATAGCTAATGGCTCCCATGGTATGCTAATCCTATTCTTCTTATCAGTCTACCTATGTAATCTATGCCCTAAAACGCATACCTCTGGCGCATGCTGATTTCAGATGTCTGATGCTATGTGATCCGGCAAAAAAACACTATTGCTAATTAGTGCGGAATGTTTGGCGAGCGTGTTTCTA